GTGAAGTGCGAAATCGGACTCTGCATTTCCGGATTTTTTTGAGAATTCCACACGAAGGCAACATTTCGGCAGATGACGCAGGTGGGAAGACAGACACTCCATGCAGATGGTGGCCAAAAATTATATAAGTAGGACATTATTTTCTACCTTAAAAATGTATTTCAAATAACGTCCGCACGCGCGGACTTTGCGACACCACATGGCGTCATTCGTACCGCTGCCTTTACTATCTGCGACGACATACGTTGTTTTAGTCGTTTAAAGGTTAAGTGATAAAAGTGCCATTACTCAGAGAGTGGAGAATCACAACTAGCAAGGGATATCCAAAACACAGGCAAAACCGATTTTGTTAGAGAACATTGAAATTATCAATAATTTAAAACATATATGCAGTAATATGCTCTTATGTTTAGAACCTGCAATAGCGACCAAAAACCCTCAAAATATGCTATATGCACATATGCATTTTCAAAAAATCCAGGCCCTACTTATTATATATATCACAACAAAATGGCTCCCCACTATGTATGCGCTGATGCTTCTTCAGATGACTCTGCTGACTGAATGACTTTTTACACACATCACAACAAAATGGCTTCTCCCCACTATGTATGCGCTGATGTGTCTTCAGACTACTCTGCTGACTGAATGACTTATTACATACAACACACCAAAATGGCTTCTCCCCACTATGTATGCGCTGATGTGTCTTCAGATTACTCTGATCACTGAATGACTTATTACATACATTACAGCAAAATGGTTGCTCCCCACTATGTATGTGCTGATGTCTCTTCAGACTACTCTGACGACTGAATGACGTTTTACATACATCACAGCAAAATGGTTGCTCCCCACTATGTATGCGCTGATGTCTCTTCAGACTACTCTGCTGACTGAATGACTTATTACACTCATCACAACTAAATGACTGTGCCCCACTGTGTATGTACTGATGTCTCTTCAGATGACTCTGCTGACTGAATGACTTTTTACATACATCACAACAAAACAGCTTCTCCCCAGTATGGATGCACTGATGCTTCTTCAGATGACTCTGCTGACTGAATGACTTATTACATTCATCACAACTAAATGGTTGTCCCCCAGTATGTATGCGCTGATGCTTCTTCAGATGACTCTGCTGACTGAATGACTTATTACACTCACCACAACTAAATGGTTGTCCCCTAGTATGTATGCGCTGATGCTTCTTCAGATGGCTCTGCTGACTGAATGACTTTTTACATACATCACAACAAAACAGCTTCTCCCCAGTATGGATGCACTGATGCTTCTTCAGATGACTCTGCTGACTGAATGACTTTTTACATACATCACAACAAAACAGCTTCTCCCCAGTATGTATACGCTGATGCTTCCTCAGATGACTCCGCTGATTGAATGACTTACTACACACACCACAGATAAACAGCTGCTCCCCAGTATGTATCCATCGATGTGCTATCAGAATTTGCTCTTGACTAAATGAATCTCCACACTCATCACAGGAATATCGTTGCTCCTCACCATGTATGGGTTGAAGTTCATTCAAATTACCCTGGAAAAGAGAGTAAAAATCATGAAAAATCCTAATAGGAAAAGAAATAAATAAGTCTGAAGCCCCAGTACAGTGTGATTTTAAATCGGTAGGCAGGAGAGTGGTGACAGAGAGGGGTG